TTCGGGGAAGAAGACGCGCGGTGTCGCTGACGCGGCGGGCCCGTGGCTTTTTCGCGCCAAAACCGCTCGCCCCGGCGCCCCCGAGCGCCCCCAACGCGCCGGGTTCGATCTGTGTCCGCCGGCGCTAAATTCGGCCCAGGCCGGCGAAAATCGATCTCCTGGGGCGCGACTGGGTCGATTTTTCAGTGCCGGCGCGAAAAAAAACATCTGGGGAGGCCTTTTTGGGGGCGCGGTTGGAGATGCTCTTAGACGGTGCGTGGATGGGAAGATAGAGACTCGCGTGAGCGTGCAGTATATAGTGGCTGCGGGAGGCGAGGCGAGGAGAAGCCTGGGCACAGAGTGCTTGATAAGCAAAGTGAGCAACATCCGGTTATTTGCTTCGATGAATTTACAATCTCTAAAAGAAATTCGTTGGGAGAGTTTTTTTCTCTTTTATTTGATTGTGTCGACCATGATCTAAACAGAAATGGCAATGCGTGTACGTGAGGGATGCAGTTGCATGTTGTTACAATACCCTGCTTTCGGGGCCTCTTTCTTGATCGGTACTGTACTGTTCTTGCCTTAACGGAGATATATTCCCATCTGGAAACTACGGTTGCAAGAGGATGAAGGATACATACATACATCATACTCAGCTACTCCAGAGACCTATATTACGGTACAAAGGAAGTACATATACAAGCATGGAGTACTTGATTAGTTGCATGCTAAGTTCCATGCTTAGTTCATCATAATGTGTATGTGATGTGGTGTGCTGTAAACAAGGAAAAAAACAACACGCTATACAAAATAACGCCGCCCCTGAAAATATGCTTAGCGTGTTATAACACGCTATAGCATGCTATTAACAAGATATTATACGCGGGTCAATTTAACGAGACAATTCTCTAGCGGCGTAGCTAGGCCCCAGGTTAGCAGCTTGATGCTTCAGTAGAACTGTTTAGTACTGTTTGTTACTGTAGCGACGAGCTTGGTCTGGGGCGTGGCTCTGATGTGGCTACGCCACTGTAAGCAATGCAGGTGTCAACGAAAAAGAGGCCGCCACTGCTGTCCATGGCTGGCGCTAGCTCATGCTCGACTTGAAGCTTATCGGTGCACCGGCTGAACCTACCTACCAGTAGTCGCCGCACGAGCACGCGCCATCCTTCATGTGATGGAAGCAGTTGGCGTCCCTCAGCACGATCTCCCTGCCGTACGCCTGGGCGACCATCTTGATCGCGGCGTGGCAGTCGCCGCACACCCGGAGGTTCTTGAACACGCGGATGGGCGCGCCGGCGGGCACGGCGAGCAGCCCGAACGCGACGGCGAGCCTCTCGCTGTGGTGCGCCAGGCCCTTCTCCCTCCCCTCCGGCCCCTCGTCCTGCAGCGCCCAGGCGGTGTCCGCCACGTACCCTTGGCCGCGGATCCTCTCCGTCATCTCCTCCACCTTCCGGTAGATCTCGGCCGCCCGCGGGTGGCCTCGGTCCTCCACGTAGAACAGGTGCGTCACGCCGTTCGCCGCCACCCAGCTGCAGCCGGGCTCCTTGGTGATCCCTCTCGCCTTCATCGACGTCCGGACCCTCGCCACGTCGCCCCACCTCCCCGCCCGCGAGTACAGGTTCGACAGCATGACGTACGGCACGGCGTCCGTGGGGTCGAGCCTCCAGACCATCCCGGCGGCGTGCTCGGCGAGCTCGGCGTTCCGGTGCGTCCGGCACGCGGCCAGCAGCGCCTTCCAGACCGTGGCGTCCAGCCTCGTCGTGCTCCGGTTCAGCAGGTCCATGGCCTCGTCGAGCCGCCCGGCGCGGCCGAGCAGGTCCACCATGCACGCGTAGTGGTCCGGCCCGGGCGCGATGCCGTGGTCGGCCTGCATGGACCGGAAGTGCGCCCGGCCGGCGTCGACCAGGCCGGCGTGGCTGCACGCGAAGAGAAGGCCGATGAAGGTCACGTAGTCCGGCCGGCACCCGGACCGGACCATCTCCGCGTAGATCTCCAGCGACTCCCTGCCCCGGCCGTTCTGCGCGTACCCGACGATCAGCGCCGTCCACGTGATGGGGTCGCACCGGACCCGCATCGCGTCGAAGACCCTCTTGGCCTCGCCGAGCGAGCCGGTCTTGGCGTACATGGAGACCAGCGAGTTCCCGACGGAGAGGAACGGGTCGAGCGCGAGCCGGATCGCGGCGGCGTGCACCGACCGGCCCAGCTCGAGCGCCGTCGCCCCGGCGCACGAGCTCAGCGCGGCCGCGACGGCGAACTCGTCCGGGCCGACGCCCGCGGCGACCATGTCGCGGTAGACCCGCAGGGCCGGGTCGTGGGAGCGGGAGCGCGCGAGCCCCGTGAGGAGGGAGGTCCAGGTGACCACGTCGCGGCGCGGCATTTCGTCGAACACGGCCCGCGCGGCGCCGTGGCGGGACAGCTTGGCGTAGGCGTCGACGAGCGCGTTGGCGACGTGGAGGTGCGCGGCGAGGCCCGCGCGGAGGAGGAGGCAGTGGAGCGCGTCGGCGGGGAGCCGGAGGAGCGCGGCGGAGTTGAGGGCGGGCGGCAGGGTGTACTCGTCGGCGTGGTGGCCCCGGGCGCGCATCTCGTGGAGCAGCGCGAGCGCGCGCGGGTGCAGGCCGGCCCGGGAGCAGCGGGAGATGGCCGCGTTGTAGGCCACGCCGGCCGGCACGACCATTGCCGCCGGGTGCACGACGGGCTGAGCTCGGAGTCGGTTCGGCGTCTAGCGTGGCGACTGCCGCGTCATGTGTGCATCAGTGCGTGCTGCTGCTTCTGATATGCGATTGCTCGAGCGTTCACGGCGTCGGCGTCGGCGAGCCATCTCAGCCATGGCGGCGGGTCAGTACTTTGATCGCGGCACATATTCAACGGAATTCTTTTGTACACGACCAGCGCTCTAAATCAGCAGCACGGTTCATCCTGCCGATCGTTGGGAATTCATCAATCATCACGGGATCATCATTTTATGGCGAAACAGCTAAAACTTTTGTCAAAGCAAATATTGAGCTTCAAAAGTTTGGTGGAGTTGCACCATTGGGATCTCTAGTTTTAAATGACCACCATACAGCATTGCCAGCAATGGATCGCCAACAAAGGCAGATACATGTCCAATGCAATTGGTCTCCTTTCTTCTGTTTGTATGTATTGCGCAGGGTCCAGGAAAGGGTCTAACCACTTTGGATCTATAGTAGGCAGTCTTTCCCTATATTTCTGTTAGAGGCTGCTTCCAGAACTCAAACTCGTGACCTGATGGTCACAAGGCAACAGCTTTACCGTTGCGCCAAGGCTCCCCTTCTATGTAGATAGATCACTGCCGAAAGCAAATATTCAGCTGGTTGGTTGATGCTGAACTTAAGTTGTCAGACAATGAAAAATCTTTTGGAGATAACTGGTGACCTTATCAACAACATAACAATCTTGAAGAACATGAGTTGGAGACAATTCAGACAAAGCAAAAAATACTGATACATACACGGTCTGTTCTCCTAACGGAATTCATTCTGGAGTACACACATTTGAACCGCTTCATTTCTACCTTACCAGGAATTCAGAAGATTTTGGCACTGAGGATTGATAATCTGTTTGATACTGCCTTGTGGCTCACATCAAATAAGGTCAATTCGGCCGGCCTCGACAAGGCCCTTGATGGACTTGTACCGAAGGACATACAGGTCGTCAGCAACCAAATCCACAACTTCCTCCCCTCTTCATGGAAGCAAGCACCACAGGTTAGCACAGTTCAAGGAAGTGAAATGACAAAAACCATGTGAGCTTGGGCACTTACACGTCATCTAGCTGGAATGCTCCTACGTCACTCTTGGTCTTGCAGAAGACAAATGTGTCAAGCTGAGGCTCTGGAACTGCACAAGGCATTCGAAAACCAAGTGAGATAGTGTCTCAAAGCTGATTACATGCTACAAACACATTTCTCTCACATCTTCAGCAAATCAGCAACAAAAAGGACAGAAACATTTTCAACAATAAAAACACGTACATGAACAATAAAAAAGATGTCCCAACATCTGTTGTTAACATTGGACATCATAGCTATTCTATGAACTTTATTGTACTCATGGCACTTGTTGAAAAGTAAGGTTCGGGTTTTCTCGCTAATGCCTATATACAGTACTGCCTACTGAATCAGCTCCATAACGTCCATGTCAATTGTTGGTTATTACTGACTGGTAGGTTGAAATGCTAAGCTGAATATACAGCAGTAACTGGAGAACTAGGGTTACATTTTGCAACCATTGTACAAAATATAAAATCGTCAGCATGAATCTTTGGCTGACTGAGGGGGCACGTGAAAATCTTCTGACTAATCTTAGAAATGATAGAAAGACACACCATCACAGTCTAAGATTGACTCTCCTAACATGTCATGCTCTATTTGCATGTAATGTATTTTAGCGTCTTACGGCTCTGTAACTACTGCCCCAGGCTTCCCTATCATGATGTGCAGTCATGCACTTGCCTTTTCACTTTCAAATTGCATCAGAATATTATTTAAGTACATGATGAAGCCAAGCGTGATGATTCCAATAAATCTACATTGCATACAGGGATTTCAAGCTCAGGTAGGAGACAAGAAACGAATGTTAAAACCTTCAAGATAAGCTGCTTATAAAGCACATTGCTATGATCAAATGCTTTTATTAAACAAATAACAGTTACATTCCAGTGCGGCAGGCCATTTTATCCTTAGAAAACTGTTTTTACTGCTCCATTACTATTCACTAATGAGCATAGTTTTCAGGAAGGAATATTCCAGGCCAACTGAACTATATATCACCAAATGAAACTCCAAGAGGCATGAGTGTACAAGTGAGGCTTTTTTATGAACCTGGCAACTTATTTATGTTATCCAAAATCAAGTTGTAGGTGCATGTTTCATGTTTGTCAGTGATACCCTGACCAGGACCCAAAAAACCTATTTGTCACAGATTAACTGAATGAAATGTCAACATGTGATACATATCAAGCTGGCTTTAAATGGTGAAGTACTAATCATCATACTGACTAGCTTATGTAATGGCTGAAGCTATAAACAACTGATGTAGTAAAGTATGACAAAGAAACATGCTAATTTCAAGATCAAGTGGAATACCCATGTCATCCTCCGTGCTCGACAAGGATTGCCTCGTTACCGAGTCATAACCGTAGGGAAGCTTCGACAGCACCGACTGCTCGAGATGCTTCTCCATGATCTCCTTGCAGCTTCCGACAGATCAAACCCAACAAGGGAGCGTTACTTCAGCCACAAAACAAGCACAAACAACCACTAGACGGTCCAATCGAGTAGAGAGGTACCTCTTGGCGAATCGCTGCTCCTGCTGCGACAGCCGGCTCAAGAGGTCCTCAGAATTGGCGATGTGGGCCATGTACTTCTCAATCTACAGACAGCAGCACGATGAGGTCAAGTAATTGCCAATGATGCAACATTTCGGTCAGTAACTGAACCGCTGCGTGGTACAGACTACAGAGACTGAATTCAGCCTGACCTTCTGCAGGCGGAGCCGTAGGTAGGAGCGGAGCAGGAAGAGCGTGCGGTCTAGGTCCATCTGGTAGAGCGAGACCACCAGGTCGTCGACGCCGTTATCCGTGAAGTCATCGAGCGTCTCCTCCTGTTTCACCGCACAGGTCGTCAAGAATCAGAAACATTCCGAATTGTGAAGAACGGGGGGCAATCAATAGAGTCAGTGAAGCGAGAAGGGGTGGGAGGGCTAACGAGGAGCTGGATCTGCTCGCGGGCGCGGGAGACGAGGGCGGAGTCGAAGTGGAGGATCTCCGGCGCGGCCTTCTCGTTGCGCCAAGCACGCTTCAGCAGCTCCACGTCCGTGGTCGCCGCGGCCGACGCGGCGGCGGAGTCCTCGTCCTCCCACGAAGACATCGTCGCCACTCCCTTCCTCTGTCGCTAACTGGCGAAGCGAGCGCCGGCGCGGCGAGGAACGAGGCGGTTAGGAAGGGGCGGCACCGGCCTGGAGAGGGCGAGTACGGACGGGGAGGGGAGCGGTGGCGCGGGGGGGTCAGACTTGTACGGCGGTGGCGGTGGCGACGGCGACGGCGAGACCCGAGGAGGAGGCAAAATCGCAGGGGTTTGGGTTCGGAGTGAGGCTAGTGCTGGACTGCTGGGCCGTGAGGTGTGAGCGCTCTTCCTCTGTGGGCCGAGAGCGAATAGACGAAGCGGATCGATCGAGAGAGTAGGAGTACCGCTCAAAAAAAAAAGAGAAGACAGAGAGAGAATAGGAGTGTCCACTCCAAAAGAAAAGAGAGAGAGAGTAGGAGTGTTGTCTTTCTTAAAAAAAAGTCCTGATAACGCCCACATGTGTGGCATACTAGATATCCGCTCACATATCGTGTGTGGCGTGAGTAGGAGGCAACCTACATGGACTATGTGTGGGCGGACATTAGAATTGCCCATATGTGTGGGCGCAGCTACTTCGTGTCACACGCCCAACAAGTACTACTCATCCCCGCTCCGCGCATGTGGCGCGAAGCAAATATACCCACATGTCCTGGCGCAGCTACGTTAGGTACCCGCAGGATGATGATTTTGTTGTTATCCAAAATGACAGATGTAGTTATCCGGGATGGCAAATGTAGTTGTAAAAGCATGTCAACTCCTTCTGTTTTGTTTAACTATAGTTGTCATGTCTAATTTATGATAGTTGTCGCGTGTAATCAAACCATAGTTGTCGTGTGTGATTAACTACTTGTCACATATGATCAAACAATAGTTGCCACGTGTGGTCCAACCGTAGTTGCCATGTATGGTTAATCACACTTGTCATATGTGTTTATCTGGTTGTCACATACGCGCAACTGCAGTTGTCGTCTAGCAACGAATCATAGTTGTCATGTGTGTTTACCTAGTTGCCACGTACGCGCAACTGCAGTTGCCATCCAACAACATACGAGTGCCGTGTGGACGAAAAGCAGTTCGCCCACACGCGCATGGACTAGGTGGTGGTTGTGTGGGCAGAAACTAGTTCGCCCACACAGCGCTGGCAAAATGCGTGCTACGGGACGTGTGGGCAAACTTTTCAATGCCCACACACACGATGATGCCCACGTGACACTCAGATTCTAACAGATTTCTTTAGGATTCGTGCAAAACAGAATCAATATGGATTAAGGCGTGTGGGCGATGTGCAAATATGTCGCCCGTGTGGGCGTTATTATTTGGGTGAAAAAAAGAATATGAATGTGTCCACTAAGAAAATAGAGAGAGAGAGAGGAGTGTGTTCACTCATTAAACCCATTAAGCTACGCATGAAGGGCGCCCAACCAGCTATGCCACGTGGCGCAAGTTGGTTGGCCGTGGTCAGAAATTTTTTAGAATTTTTTTAGATGAAGGTGTGGATTATTTTTAAAATATTTTTTCTTTTTGGATGGAGGTGAAGACCTCTGGTATTTTCTAAATGGAGGGTTATGCAAAGTGGCATCGCTGGTAGGTTGCGGTGGTATTTTTTTAACTTTTTTTTAGATGAAAGTGAGGATTTTTTTTCAGAGATTTTTTTAGACGGAGACGAGGACTCTATGTATTTTTTTCATAAAAACATGCACACAATTTTTTTTCAAGCGGCGCTATCGGGTGGCGTCCCAACCACTAGTCAAAATTCAAAAGGAGGGAGAGAGGAGAGTGTGTATAGTGTTTTTTAACAATGGTGTCTGCAGACCTTCGAATAACTAGAAGCGCGTTGCAACGGATGCTAAAATTGGTACCCTGATGACATGGATAAAGATGTCTTGAGTGTCCAACAACCTATCGTTGAAATATATTCCAAGTATATCGTTGCTCAGAAGAAAACCCACCTTCTTGTTGGGATTGTAGACGACGTAGTTGATGGCGATCTGGGTGTAGAGGTGGTCGGGTTCGTCCACGACCTAGACATCGAGCAACACGTGGTCCGGCCACAACACTGATTCCTTCATAGCTATGTTAACTCTCTAGTGGCAATTCAAGCAGAGCCCCATGCAGACCACGTAAAGGGGAAGATAGTTGTTGGCGCTGACCTGATCAGTAGGTCGTCATCGCATGTGTAATACAACCAAAGGACCTGCTTCGACGCTGGTTGACGCCGCTGGCGGGCTGGACGAGTCTCAACGTTGATGGGTCGTTTTGCGAGCGCCACCATTCTGCATGTGCAGGTATGATAGTGCGTGGCTTGGGTGGTGTTTAGTTCTCTAGTCCTAGAATTTTTTTTAGTCCCAACTAAAAAGTCCTTAATTCTTAAAAAGTCACTCTCTCCCTGTTTGTTTCCAGAGACTAAAAAGTCTCTAGTCCCTTTCTAGAGGTTATTAAATAACCATGTTGCTTCTAGTATATAGAAAAATAACAATTAAACAACACTATGGGATGACGGGCCAATGGGTGCATGGATGGGCATTGTTGGAAAAGTCTCAAAAAATCTCAAAAGGACTCTCTTTGAGAGTCTTCTTCGTTTAGTCCCAAATGCCTAGTTTAGTCCCTAAAAAATCCCTTTCGTTTGGCAAAAAAGTCTTTAAGAAAGACTTTTTTTAGTCCCTACACAAAAAAGTCCTGAAAACAAACACCCCCTTAGATTGCAATCCCATATTTGTTGCATGCCGTCAGCTACGTACTTGCGCGTCTCTCCTGTAAGCAGAAATCGCTGCATGCAAGGAGGGGATTGAGCTTGCTCTTCAATGGACAACCCTGCCGATTATTATTCAGTCCGACTGCAGAGACGTCACTAATCTTATCCAATGCATGAGCAAGGACAGGTCGGTGCATTCCATGGTAATTGAGGAGATTAAGAGCCTTCTCCATGAAGGAAGGGAGTTTTTAGTCAAAGTATGTTAGGAGAGAACAAAATAATGTAAGCCATTATTTGGCTAACTTTGATAGAGGTGACAAGCGTACTGCGGTATGGTTTCGATCTGGGCCTGGAGATGTGCTAGACCTATGTAAGGCAGACATGGTCGATGCTTGATTAATACAAACCCCCTTTCAATCGCAAAAAAAAGGTACATGTATAAATAATATTATTTCTAAATATGTACTGTAATAACTTGTTTTAATTGCAACATTGGTTATTTAATCTATGTAAAACTCTAGCCCTTGTTGATGCACGGGTTGATGAGTCTAGATAACAAAGATTGAGATTAGTATGTAACGAATTACGGAACATTGAGTTTTCTTCCATTCCCTTCATAGTAAAGTTACAAGATTGAAATAGGTTTACTATAAGTAGCGTTTCCGTAAACCCTACCGCTCTGGCGATTAGGGTTTGGCGGACTTGACGGCGCCCGCAGATTGGATCGGCGGGGCGCACCTGGGATTCCGCCGGCGGGAGGGATGGTGACACCCTCCGGCAGCGGAAGCGGGACGGCAGGGGCAACTCTGTCGCCTGGATCGGCTAGGGCGCGCCTGGAGGAACAGCTCGGGAAACTCGACATCACAGAGGAAGAGGCGACGCCATTGGTGCTAGACGATCGTGTGGATGGGGCGCCAGAGAAGTGGATTGTGGCCGGAAAAGTGCTGAATCGGAATTTACTTCACATCCAGACTATCTCAAACGCCCTCCGACCTGCTTGGGGTAATCCCAAGGGTCTAGCCTTCCGGATCGTGGGAGAGAACACGTTTGTCGCGGAGTTTGCGACGAAGCGAGATCGAGATCGTGTATGGGATGGATCCCCATGGCACATCAGCAAGACCGCAGTAATTCTATCAGAGTTCGACGAGTGCATGTGCCCGTCGGAACTTAAATTCGGCAAACTCAAGGTTTGGGCCCGTGTCGTCAATCTTCCGTTCAATCTGCACACTGAAACCTGGTGCAAGGCCATCGCGAAGCAGATTGATAAGGAGGCTAGCTCGGCCCACTTCGATCATGGGGGAGGCTACCTGCGTGCCCGTGTTACTTTGGACATAGCCAAGCCATTGAGGAGATGGATCGTCATCAATTCTGCAAGGAGGGGCAACATCGATCCATATGACATACAGTATGAAAACATCCCCCACTTTTGCTTCTCGTGTGGCCGATTGGGTCACTCTGACTTATTCTGTCCGACGCCTGGAACGAGAGATGAAAACGGCGATCTGCCGTTTGGCAAGGGTCTCCGTCCGCCGGAAGAGAAAAGGAAACCTGCATCTTCTGAAGGTTCCTCGAAAACCAACCAGACCAAATCAGGCAAGAATGACACAAGGAACTCAAGTAATGCAACTGAGAAGGGGGCCGAGGTCACATCCCCAGCGAAACGAACTGCACCGAAACGAAAAGGGGAGGCTCCTGCCCAAGTGTAATGCAGAATTGATTTGCCTCTTCTGACAAATCACGCTACAGCTGATACTTTGGAAGCAGAACATTCAGATGTAGCCATGCAGAAGGGTGCAGATGATGCTGAGGAAAATGATGGTACAGTGAGAGAGGTTAAGAAAAAGAAACCAACACCTACGAATTCTGAATCTTCGGCAGAGGCTGCTAGTCGGCTCTGCCCGAAGCAATGATTTGCCTAAGCTGGAACTGCCAGGGGCTTGGGAACCCCGAGGCAGTTCGCGAGCTTCACAGTGTCGTGAAGCAAGACGGCCCCGCTCTGGTTTTTGTCATGGAAACAAAGATCCGAGGGAAACGAGTGGAAAAATTGCAGCAGATGTTAGGGTTTGCTGGCTGTTTTGCTGTGGACAGCGAGGGACTAAGTGGGGGCATCGGCCTCTTTTGGTCCCGTGATGTAACAGTGGAGCTCAAGAACTACAGCTCGATCCATATCGATGTTGTGGTCCGCGATGCACTAAACACCTCGGTGAACTGGAGGTTCACCGGGTTCTATGGAGCGCCGAGGGCAGAGAACATACACCATAGCTGGCGATTCCTACGTACCCTACACAGCTTACCTCATCCTGAGTGGTTGTGTATGGGTGATTTCAACGAA